TACCTTGTTTTTTTAAAAACTCTTAAAACAAACCAAACAAATTAAAGTACAAAGAACCAATTTTTTTAAAAAGCCAATGTTAAAATGTTTACTGTTGTCTGTGCTAAATTTATAAATCATAAATATTACATACTTATTATGACTTTCACATGTGAGGTTTAAAAATCTTAAACATGTTTTCCATAATTAATGTCAATAAATTATACATGTAAAAGCAGATGAAAAGGCAAGTATTTCTTACATATATTTCACCACAATAAATGCTTACAAAAGATACTGAACAGTTAATACTGTACGAAAAGATTTTAAGTTAAAATAGAAATTTAGGAAAGGAAAAATAAAACTTTTAGATAAAAAAGCCAAATAAAAAGATGATGACGTTTGAATGCCATCAAACTGAAGAGATATAAAAATGAATACAGAATTAAGAAGCGCATGGGACAATTACCCAGAGGAAGCAAAAGACTTAAACAGTTTAAGCTTGGAAACAAATAACATCCCTTCCTAGTTTTTAGGTTGAAACTTCTAGTCCAGCTGTTCAACAAAATCCAGGAAGCTTTGCAAACACTGATGTCCATATTGACTCTGCAGAAATCTCAGTCTAATTTGTGTGATGTGTCACCTAAGCATCAGAATCTTAAAAATGCCCTTAGTTATCCAATGGGCAGCTAGGATTAAAAAGCAAAAGCTCTTGCTTAACAAAAAAATTTCAATTTTTTAATAAGTGGCCTTATACTGCTAAGAGCCAGACAGTGAAAAAAGGATTACAGAAGAAATGATGCCTTTGAACTGTGGTGCTGGAGAAGAGAATTGAATATCCATGAACTACCAAAAGAACAAACAGCTGTGTTATGGATAAAGTGAAGCCAGAGTGCTCCATGGAGGCAAAGATGCTAAAGCCTCATCTCACAGACACTAGGCATGTTCTAAGAGAGGCTATTCATTAGAGGAGGACTTGGGAAGGTGGGGGTCAGCAAAAGAGAGGAAGACTATTAACCAGGTAGGCTGACACAGTAACTGAAGCAAGGAGGGTCAGAGATCACAAGGATGGCTCACAGAACAGGACAAGATTCAGATTTGTTTTTCACAAGGCTGCTAGGAGTTATACTTGACTCAATGACACCTAACAATCACAGTGCAGCTAATAATGATCAGAGTGATGTTTTTTAAATTGGAAAGGGCCAATGATGGATTACTCATGAACAAAATTCTGATTAAAATACACTATTGACCAACCTAAAAGAGCTACCTCGTTACCCAACTAGGTAACATTCTGGATAAGTAAAAGAAAAAAAGGTTTTGAGGTCAGGAGTGCTATGCTTCCAACCTGTTTTGTTTCTCAGAAGTGTTTTGCTTATTCGGAGGATCTTTTGCCTCTCCAAATAAATCTGATAATTTCTCTTTCAATCTTCCTGAAAAATTAATTTGGTATCTGGATTGAGATTGCATTGAACATGTCAGTTGCTTTTGGTAGGCTTGTCTTTTTCACAATATTGAGTATTCCTTCCTGTCCATGAACAGGGCACACTTTTACATTTCTTTAGGTTTTTTATTGTGTCTTGCAGAAATGTTCTGTAGTTTTCTTTGTATAGGTCTTTTGTATCACTAGTTAGGAAGAAATGCTCCAAATCACTGGCAATAAAAGAGATGCAAATCAAAACCACAATAAGGTACCATCTCACTCCAGTAGCAATGGCAAAGTTTAACAGGGCAGCAAGAAATAAATGTTGGAGAGGATGTGGCGAGAAAGGAACTCTTCTACATTGTTGGTAGGATTGTAAAATAGTACAAACCTTTCTGGAAGGCAGTTTGGCACTTCCTCAAAAAACTAAACACAGGAGGAAGGACTGTACAACAGTGAAGAAATTTTTCTTTTTCTTTTCAAAGAGAAGAGCAAACAGGGGGGGACGGGTGGGAAGAGAGAAAAGTGCAACAATGAATGAATGGAAATCCAAAGTCTCTGTAAAAAGGGGGGGGGAGTTAAACATAGACATTCCATATGACCCAGCTATTCAACTACTTGGAATACACCCTGAGAATATAAGAACTGAAGCACAAACGGAGATTTGTACACCAATGTTCATAGCAGCATTATTCACCATTGCAAGAACTTGGAAACAGCCCAGATGTCCAAGCACAAACGAACAGATTGAGAAATTATGGCACATTCATACAATGGAATACTATATAGCACACAGGAGCAACGATTTTGTAAATTATTACCTAACTTGGAAGGGACTGGAGATCATTATGCTGAGTGAACTAACTCAGTCCCATAAGGACAAATATTATATAAAACCATAATTGTAGAATGAGTATAAGGATCCAAGAGGGGTGGGAGAGGGTGGAAGCAGAGGGATGAGAATGGGCAGGGGAAAGGGAGGACTGATCATGGGTCGTACAATTTGTTGGGGGGGTGGTTGAGGGAAATTGAAAGAATGTGATTTTGAAAACAATGTATTTGAATTTTATAAATAAACTAGTATAAACTTTAAAAAAAGGAAGACAGTAAAAAGATCAGTGGCTGCCAGGGCACAGAGTAATAGAGGGAAGGATGAATAGGGAGAATATAAGGAAATTTTTAGGGCAATTCAACTATTGTGTATGGTACTGTAATGGTACATAGAGGATATTATACATTTCTCAAAGTTCACAAAACCATGCAACACAGTGAGCCCTAATTAGTAAACAATGTACTTTTTTTTGTTTATAAAATTGTGCCAATACTGGCTCATTAATTATAACAAATGACCATGCTAATGCAAAATATCAGCAACAGGAGACAGAAAGAGGAGAAAATAATACAGAACTCTGGATTTTCTGCATAATTTTCTATAAAGCTAATATTGCTCTAAACATTAAACACTACCAATTATATTTTAGGAGTTCTGGTGGCTTAGTGGTAAGGAGTTGCACTACCAACCCAAAGGCATGAGGTCTGAATCCACAAGAGCTCCACAAGAAAAGGGGAGCAATCTCCTCCTGTGCAATTAACTGCCTCTTTAAACCCACTGAGGGCTCTGTCTGGAGTTGGTTGACTCAATGGTAAGTAACAATTTTATGTTAAACTTCGAAAGCAACAAAGTTTCATTTTCTTTTTTTTCCTTATAGTTTAGACTTTATATGAAAACAATCATTTAAATTACAACAATCTCCAAGGGAGCTCTGGTGGCCTAGTGGCAAGACTGTGTCACAATCCCAAAGGCACGCGGTTCTAATCCACCAGATGTTCCACTAGAGAAGGAGGGGCAATCTCCTCCTGTGCCAGTTGGATCCGATTCAACAGCACACAACAAATTAAAAAAAAAAAAAAAAAAAGAAAGAAAAGAAAATTACAACTATCTCCAGAATAGAAAAGGCCTATCTGTGACGGGTTGTGGGCTCAGGCTCCCCAGGAAGCAGGCCAATGACAGCTCCATCAGTCCAGCTCCTCTGGAAAGCCAGGAGGGCCCGCCTCCACCCTGTCAGTGAAGAATGCTTAGTCACAGTCATAGTGACTGGCTGTCAGCCTCTGGACTGGCTGTACAGATTTGAAAATAAAAAGGAAAAATGAGGAAGAAAGAAGCCTGTCCGTAAGATTACAAAACACAGTTACTATCATTTGGCTGTATCGTGTCACTGAGTCAATTCTGACTCATGGTGGCCACATAGGACCACAGAACTGCCCCATGGGGTTTTCTTGTAATCTTTATGGAAGCCAAATGCCAAGACTTTCTCTTATGGAGACACTGGATTGGTTGGTGCCACCAACCTTTAGGTTCATTGCCAAGCACTTAACCATGGCATCGTAAGGCCTCTTACCAGTGCACTAATGGCCTCATACAACAAGCTGGAAAGTGTTCCCCTCTCTATTTTTTGTTTGCTTTTCCAAAAATGTCAGTAGTGGAACGATCCACCCTTTTTCACTTGCAAAGGGTGAACAGAAAGCTACTATTTTTATCTAGGACATTTATAAAAAGTTTTCTTCACCTTGAGAAGAAACTGAATAAAAATAAATGTCCATGCAACCTAACAATATGGGCTGCAGTTGCATCCTGGAGAAGATGAAGCCAAATTGTTCCTTGGAAGCAAGATGGAAAGCTATGTGTCTCACACTTAGGGCATATTGCAAGGAGAGGCTATACCTTAGAGAAGGACATCATGCTTAGAAAGGTGAAAGAACAGTAAAGGAGAAGACCCTCAATCAGGTGGACTTACACAATGACAAGAGCAATGGGCTAAAAAGTGTCAGAGACTGTGAGGTTGGCAAAGGGCAGGAGAGGGTTCAGATTTACTGTTTATAGGATTGCTATGGGATGGCATATGATATTAATAATAATAGACCCAATAATATCTTAATGTAGGATTCAAGATGGAGTTTCATCATTTAATGCCACAACAAAGCAAAACAAACCTATGTGCCATCAAGTCAATTTCTATACACGCAAGCATATCAGACAGAGTAGAACTGTCTCATAGGATTTCAAAGGCAGCAATCTTTTTTTTTTTTATTTTTTATATTTTTTTAATACTTTCTTTTGTTAAAGGCAGCAATCTTAATGGAAGGGACTTCTGGAGGTCTAGAGGTAAAAAGCTCCACTGCAATCCCAAGGCACGCATTCAGATCTACCAGCTGCTCTGTAGGAAAAGGATGAGCAATCTCCTCCCATGTGATTTACTGCCTCTGAAAATCCTGCTGGAGGGTCAATGAGTTTGTTCTGATTCAATGGCAAACCACAATCTTTATAGAAGCACATTTTTACTCCCTCAGTGTGGTTGGTAGAATTGAATGGCTGAATTCAAAATTCCAAGAGCCAATTCTCTGTAATTTGCCCTTAATCCACTACCTTAACCACAGAAAATGCCTAACATGATTATAGTCTTTCCGTGACAAATCCAATTCAACAAAGAAAAAAAAAAAAGCTACTAAAAATTCAGTTCAAAGTAAAGGAGGCATATTTAGACAAAAATATAACACACACTGAATCTCTCAAACACCTAAACACTGCCAGTAGTCTTACCAGATTCTGAAATAAATGTAACGGGATCTTTTCGCAGGATTTTACCAGGTTTAGAAGACAATGGTTTTTTTCCTGGTTGCTTTTTGGCATTTTTAACCTGCACTGTCTCCTCTGGTTCTGAATCTGTGTGTGAGAAAAAATAAAGACAAAATTTTGATAAGAAATATTATAATACCACGTGTTTTTAAAGCAGTCGTTCTCTGTGCTCCAATTCCCCACATCCTCTTCAAGTCACTTCTTCTGACTCTTGCAGACTCCTTCTACTCATAATTACATTTATGTGTTAATTTTCTATTGCTGCTATTAAAAAAAATTATCACAGATTAAAGGGTTAGGACAACACAAATTTATTACAAATTCTGTCACTATAAATGTTTTACAGTTCTTTTCTGGATACTCCACAGGGAATCCATTTCCTTGTCTTTTCCAATGTCTAAAGGCTGCCAGTGTTCCCTGGCCCCCTGTGTCCATCCTCAAAGCTGACAACAGCAAGATGAGTGCTTCTCATGCCACCTCCCCGCTGGTCCTCTGACTCTTTCCAACCTTCATGCTCTTAGCCTATGCTGTTTGCTTACTCTTTTTTTTATTAATTTTAAAGAACATTTACAGAGATTTTGGATTTCCATTCATTCATTGTTGCACTTTTCTTACTCTTAAAAGATTCTTAGGATTACCTTGGAACCACCTTGAAAACACAATTTTTTACCTATTTTAAGGACATCTGGTTAGCAGCCCTGATTCCATCCATATGAAGCATACTGATTCCTTTTTGCTGTGTAGCCTCATAAGGTCTAAGAGATGGGGAATGAACACCTGGGAGGGTCAGTATTCAGCCCACGTTATTTGCCAAGATCAAGTACACATATCAATTTGAAGTGTAAGGTCTAAGAGATGGGGAATGAACACCTGGGAGGGTCAGTATTCAGCCCACGTTATTTGCCAAGATCAAGTACACATATCAATTTGAAGTGTTCATTAAGTACTTGGCACAATACATGATATAAAGGAGGTGTTCCATACACTTTAGTGTCCTTCCTCTTCCTCTGTACCATACACTTAGATTCTTTCTCATACTGTTCTAAATTAGTTTCCCAAAAGAGACAAATTCCCAGGAAACAGGATACATACTTTTTTTAAAAAGTCCTTACAATACAGAGCAATAAAAGGCATGCAGTATACACATACTTTTATAATTGACAGCCTTTGCAATCCCAAATCCAGACAACCCATAGAGCTCACACCAGAGAGAAAACTAAAGACGAAAATTTCCTGAGTGCTATCACTATTTTTAACACCTCAAAACAAAAATCGAGCTTATCCATCTGAAAAAGGAAATCTGGTGGCCTAGTTGGGAAGAAGGTACAGTGCCAACCCAAAAGGAGGCAGTTCGAATCCACCAGCTACTCATTGGAGAAATGATGGGCACTCTCCTCCTATCCAATTTACTGCCTCTGAAAACCCAGTGAAAGGTCAGTTATAAGTCAGTTCCAACTCCTTGGCAATAACTGATTATGCAAAAAAAAAAAAAATTCAAAATACCTTTAAATTGTTTTTATGTCTCTTTTTAAGGTAACAAAAAAGTGAAATCTTCCCATCAAGCTCAAGACTAAATGCTTAAAGGTGTGTTTTAAAAGCAACATTTTTTTTTAAAAAAAGAAATATTCTAAGGCATTTATTTAATCACATTTTCAAGAAATCAAGGTGGAGGTTAACAAAACATTATTAAGGAGTCAATTCTTCCCAACTCAATGTCAAAACAAAATTCCAGTCTCTTTGGATGGTATGGAAAAGCAAAAAGTCCAAAATAAATAACTCATTTCACTACAATGCTACAATGATCAGTAGAGTATCAGCTACAACTACTAGTCTCTATACCTTACAGGTTAAAGAGAAAAATGTAAATCAATGTAAAGTTGCCCCACAGAAGAAAGATGGGCACTCTCCTCCCATGAGATTTACAGCCTCTGAAAATCCACAGGAGGATCAGCTATGAATTAGAGTCAGTTCCAACTTGAAGTCACATAACAATTTTCAAAGATGCAATTAGTCAGCAGGGCCCTCTACCAACATGAGCCACAGTAAGGTCTACTTTAAGGACAAAAGAATTAGGGTGCCTGTCTAGTACTCTCTTCTGAAATAGCCCATAATATGTATTAGGCTAAAAATCAAAATGGAGGTTGAAGTTCAACTCAAAAATCCTATGTCAGGATATTTTCCAAAACCAGAACTCAGAAAATCCTATGTCAGGACATTTTCTGAAACCAGAACTCATAAATCCTATGTCAGGACATTCCCCAGAACCAGTTTCCCAAGACCAGAAGCTTTATGCCGCAATGAGCCACTGTAATGACCCCATATAAACACCCTGAGCTCAAACCCCAGTGCTACTCCCCTTGCTGAGTAGCCCGGCATGCAATGAACTCTGGGAAATGTTTCTACCTCAGCGTGGTTCTTGGCTTTGATCCGAAACCTTTCAATATGATTTTAAGAGAAAAATATGGAACAGAACGCAAATTTTTTAAAAACCTTCAGACCTCTTAGACCAGCTGAGGTCAAAGAGGATTCTCTGAGACTACTGCCCAGGATAGTATTAAAACCTTAAATTGACACTATGCCTCAAGATTACCATTTAGCAAAATAAGAGATTGGTATGCAAAGATTATTTATCCGTGAGTACAGGGCTCCACTGTAAAGTCATTTATATGAGACAAAAAAATTAACAAGAAAAGAGAAACTAAAATGCTAGAAACAAATCAAATGCTAGAATAATCAAAACACACTTAAAGAAAATGCTGACAAACTGTAATAAATACTGTTAAATACAGTTAATAGTGAAAGTATCCCTGAACTATTTGTCTGGTGGTGGTGGCAGTGGTGTTAGGTGCCACTGAGTCTAGTATGACTCATAGCAACCCTATGAACAAAAAGATCTCACACTTTGACACAGAAGAGCCCATTCAGCAGTCACCTTATCAATCCACTTGGTTGAGGGTCTTCTTTTACTTCACCGACCCTCCACCCTTCCTAACATCATGTCCTTCTCCAAGGACTAGCACCCCCTAGCAATATGTACAAAGCATGTGAAGCAAAGCCTCATCATTCTTGCCTCCAAAGAGCACTATGGCTTCACTCTCTCCAAGACACGTTTGTTTTCTTGGCAGTCCATAGGATGTTCAGTGCTCTTCGCCAACAGCACTGTTCAAAGGCATCAATTCTTTTTCTGTCACCCTTATTCACTGTCCAAGTCTCAGATACATAGCTAGTAATGAGAAAGACTATGGGCTCAATCAGCCGCACCTTTGTCCTCAAACTGACAAAACTACTCCAAAATAATTTGGAAAGCTCCTTAAGTGCAGATTTTCCCAGTGCAATGTGTCTCCTGATTTCCTGACTGCTTGTACCAAGGGTGTTAGTTATGGATCCATGAAACGCATGAATATCAACATACTAGGCATTAGTGAGATGCAATGAACCAGCTATGGCCGCTTTGAATCAGATAATCATATACTATGCAGGGAATGAATGGCAGCTCAGAGGCCTAAACTAAGGGGAAGTAAGAGTGGAGCCTGCAGAGCTTGCTCCAGGCAGTAGATTAAACTCCTGTAGGGCCCTGGGTCTGTCTTTAATGGTTTTTGGTGAAACATTCTTGTAGGTCATATAGCCCTAGTGCATCCACTTGCCCTACAGAGGTAACTTGTCATAGCTGTCAAGCTGAACACTGTGACACTGACTGTCAAATGTGATAATGGTTACCCATGGCAGACAGTGTTTGGTGGTGCTCCTGGCTAAAACGAGCATGGAAGCAGGAGTGGTATCCACTTCCATAAATAGCTTGCCTCAATGAACATGGAGAAAGGATTGAAAGTCACACAACTGTCAGGATTTCCATTATAGGGTCGCCTAGGACTTTCGTTCATAGGGTCACTATGAGTCACATATGACTCAAGGGCACTTAACAACAACAAAAACATGCAGGGAATGGATATGCTCTTTACAGAGTCGCCGTGGTCTCCTGCTTCAACAGCGCTTGAACAGAACCCCGCACTCGCCAGCATCTCCCCGTCAGTCATCTCCAGCTAGTCCTCCACCACTTCCTCACATCAGCACTCTGGGACGCCCCAAGTTCCTTGCCTCCGCTCCAGCACTGCACAACCGCCACCACCATGACCGCGTCCCCTTCGCAGGTGCGCCAGAACTACAACCAAGACTCAGAAGCTGCCATCAACCACCAGATCAACCTGGAGCTCTACGCCTATGTCTACCTGTCTGTGTCTGACTACTTTGACCGTGATGATGTGGCTTTGAAGAATTTTGCCAAATACTTTCTCCACCAATCCCATGAGGAAAGGGATCATGCCAAGAAACTGACGAAACTGCAGAACCAGCAAGGCAGCTGCATCGTCCTTCAGGACATCAAGAAACCAGACCAGGATGACTGGGAGAGTGGTTTGAACGCAATGGAGTGTGTGCTACACTCGGAGATAATATCCATACACGTACAACACAACAAGTATTATTCAAGCATATGCTCCTTCATCTAGTGCCAAAGAGGAAGAAACAGAATTTTTACCAAATTTTGCAGTCTGAAATTGACCCAACATGCAATCAGGATGCGTTAATGATAATTGGTGACTAGAATGCAAAAGTAGGAAACAGTGAGGATGAACTATTTGTGTAGAGATTAGTATATAGCAATCTAATTAGCTGTATAAACTTTCACTGAACATGCAATATAGCTTTATTTAAGAAAACAAAGAAACATAGTTGGAAGAGAGCTTAATGGGAATATTTTAAAAATACATACCATGTTTCAATTAAGTATGAGACATGCTACACACTAATATCTCTCTAAATAATTAATGCATTAAAATATCTAGACTGTAAACACTATTTTAGCATACAGTCTTCTTTTCAAAGCATTAACATCTCTATGAACAGCACAGCAAACTGTGTATCTTATATTAGTTTAGAAAATACTTTTTTAAGTCATAAAATAATTACCTGAATCATAAATGATCCTCTTTTTCTTGTTTGGTTGTTTCTGTTTGAAGTCATCATCTTGGCAAGAACTATTTACCTATAAATATCACAGTATAATTAGAACATCTATTGTAACCTACCCTATTATTTGTCACTAGATTTGAACTTAGTGCTTTTCAATCAGGTATGATTTTAACTCTCTGGAGATATGTCTCAACCTCTGGAGACATTTTTAGTTATCATTCTGGAGGAAAGGCATCTCAGGGTGGTGAGAGCAGGAACAATATCAAGTATCTGACAATGTGCAAGACAGTCCTCCACCACAAAGAATTAACCAGTAATATTTTAGTAAAATTTTAGTAATATCTTGATTAGGCTAAAGAAAGGGCCAGACAATAAATGTATGAGAAAACAGAAGAATTACAAAAAAATTACATTATTAATCAGCTTCACTTTCAACACTAATCTCTGTATATCAAAGAATAAAAAGATACCAGATATTCCAATGAAAAGCTTCCTAGATATAAAGATTAGACATAGAACTAAAAGCTGACTAATTTGGGGCACAGCTGTAGCCAATCACTATTGGAAAACTAAGCCAAAAGGAAAAGTATGTTTCCTAGTCATACATACATATCATTTTAACATATTCAGATTTCCCCAGAAAAAAAGAAATTAAACAGAAAATGTTTGTTGTTGTTAAGTGCCGTCAAGTCGCAGGCGACTCATAGCGACCCTATGAAGGAGAGTCCTCGACGCTTGGAAACAGAAAATAGTTTATTATAACCAATTAAATATAAAACTAAGATATTTCTCTATCATTATAATAAAACTACGAAAATAAAAGATCAACAAGCTTGTAAAATTAAGCAATTCTATTTACCTGGAACAAGAGAAAGAAGCCGACTCAGGAGCAGGGAAAAGAAACGGTGTCTATTTGCCTCCATCAATAACAGCATGCTTCCTTTGCTATGAGACCAGAACTGAATGCTGCCTGATTACCATTATGAAATATTTTGCTCAAAGATTTAATAGAGGAATCTTTATCAAAAGTGGGGAAATGAAGAACAGAATTTCAAGTTGTCACAGAATCCAGACTTTGTGAAGCTATGACAAATCTCAGAAACTATGGCCCTGGGACAATCTTTAAAGCCTTAAACCAAAAATATCCTGTGCAGTCATCTTCAAATTAAACAAAAGTTTAGGTCAACTAGGAAAAGCACTGTGCTCTTATAAGAACTATACACACACACACACACACACACACACTCTTATGGGATTAAATTGGCAACTTGGAAGTCAAACTGAAATACAATGCTACAGTGAGAACCAATTCATAGTTGCCTCTCCAGAAGGTTTCTGGAGGCTATAAACTGCATGGCAGTAGACTGCCCATTTTTCTCCCATGGATCCACTGGAAGATTCAAATCATCCAATAGGAACTACTTTTGGGTTAGAAGTACAATTCCCTATGGATAATGCCACCAGAGCTCCTTAAATTAACAAGAATCGCTGAAAAAATTAAATAGGAACGTGGGTGAATCTTATGCAAATAAGAGAAGAGCAACCGAGAAAAGGAGGGCAAAAAAAGTTGCACAACTCAAATATATCCAATATCACTAAACTGTATACAGAGCAATTACTGAAAAGAGGGGGGAAATAAACATGACTCAATGACCTGTGAGACAATAAAAATTCAAACATGTATGTAATTGGACCCCTAGAAAGAGAAGACAGAGAAAACAGTAAAAAAAAAAAAATTTGAAGAAATAATGGCAACAGTTTTCCAAATTTGCTAAGTGATAAATTTCTTTTAAAGATTCAAGAAGTTCAGAAACACTAAGCAGGTAAGACACAAGGAAAACTACACTCGGGCATATCACAAGTCAAATCGATGAAAACCAGAGACAAAAAAAAAACAACCAAAATAAGCACTACCCTTTAAAACAGCATTAGAAAAATACATTGCAAAGAAAAACAAAAGGAATGACACTTGACATCTCATCAGAAGTGTGGAGGCCAAAAGACCGTGGAACCCCAAAACCACAACCAAAACAACCCTCTCAACACAAAGTTCCATATTCAGAAAAAATAACAATTAAGGATGAGGAACTATTTTAATGGCTGCTTTTGATTTTCCTCTTCCTATTTCCTTTTCTCATTCAAAGACAAACTGGACCACATATGGGGGCAAGGTGTAGGTTGGGAGGAACTTAATGTCCAAAATTAACATTCTGAAGGTTTTCTTATTGATGAAACTAATATGGAATAATGCCACCAGAGACTGAGTAGCAATTGCCCCTTTCTAAGGTGCCGTTTTTAGGAGCCAAAAACACAGCATTTAAAATGAAAAGGTTTTCTTGAGGAAATAACATGCAATATAATTTGAAATAAAGATATAACCTTGTGAAAAAGAGCATTATAAAAGGTAGCATTGCGAATAAATATGTCAAAAGAACAACTCTGATTAAAGTTCTCCTGCAGAGTTAAAACGTATTCAGTAGGTTTCTACATAGTAATCTGCTTTTATTTTGTGATTTATAGTCCTCAAGACTTTTTAAAAAATAAAGTCCAACCTTACACTTTAAAAAAAGTGAGGAAAAGGAAAGACTTATTTTTAATTTCTTTTCAGAACTTTTCAATTACTTTTGTGGGGTTTTTCTGATATGCATCTTATTTCCTAACATTGAGTACAACCCCACATTGTATCCCATTATCCCCCTGTGGTTCTCACCTACATTCATCCCGCCAGCTTCTCCCTTCCTGGCCACTGAGGTTTACCTTTTGACAAATGCTGTCCCTGTGATTCTGTGCAGGTGAGTGGTCAAGTGCCGAGCGTCTTCCTGATGTTAAAGCTGCTCATTGTCTGGAGGAAAGTTATGTCACAGAGGTGAGTCCAGTTCCAGGCTTAAAGAGAGGCTGAAGGTCACAGTTTCCAGGGTACTACCAGTCTCCATCAGGCCATTAAGGCTGACCAAAATCAGGGCTTTGAGTTTTGCCCTAGTTTTCATTCACTCTATCCAGGACCTTCTACTGTGATCCCTTTCATAGTGATTAATAGTAGTAGTCAGGTACCAACTGGCAGTTCTGGTCTCACGGTCATGGAAGTTGAGGCCCACAAGCTGCACTGGTGCCCATGGACTACTCGTTTCCAAGTCTCTTGGTTTTTCACCACTCTTCTTTGTTCTACCCAGGGAAAGACCCACGGCTGCTCAAAGAGATCTGAGATGGTGGCTCACAAGCTTTTAGATCTTAAGTCACTACTCAACAGTGAGGAATGAAAAATGCTATCCTTCTGAACCATTAACTGATCACAGTGTCCCAGAGATTATTACGATTAAGCAGAATGACCAGTGATTCAGTCCATCAGATGGTTAGGTTAGAGGTAAGAGGTTTATGTAATATTGTCCCCTGCTTTTTGTCTACATGGTCAACAGCACTCCTGCTGACCTATTATATGCAAAATTTATGGATGTAATCTCTTTCACTTGCCCCTGTTTCATTTGCTCGCTTGTCCATGTATTGATTAGAGATTAGTATTTTTTATTACTGATAATATAGTATTATGTATGTAGCGGTCTATTACTGTTGATTTGTCTTTATTTTTAATTATTCAAATTTTTATTTTAATGCACAGTCTAAGAAGTTAACTTTCAAATCAACTCAATTTTAAAATAGCAAATAAATTAGACCCATGTTAGAAAAGAGGTCAGTTAAATGTCCAAACTGAAAAGATATAACAGCCAGAGTTAATTCAATTCCATAATCTTCTTTAAGAAGTTGAACTCTTTCAAATACAATTTTGCTATGAACTGGTCCAGAACGCAACAGTATAAAGGAATGTTTATTAACAGGGGTGGTGATCTGGGACATGTTTCCTTGGTGCTGCTTTGATAATGTTGTCCACACGTAAAATCACCTCTGCTGCTTCAGCTGCACTCAAAAGAACTTGTCTCTTCACTTGCAAACTTTTGGTTATACCTAGTATTGACATATCACCAATGGTACCTTCCTTCATATCCAGTCCAGCCGTCACATTGCCTTCACTGTGGGCAGCCCAGAGCTGTGCCACCAAATCAGCACTGTCATAGCCTGCGTTGTCTGCTATGATAGTTGGCAACATTCTTAGTGCTTTGGCATTAAGATTCCATTGCAACAGCTTCTTTGCCAGGTGTTTTATTGGCAAGTTGTGTAACAGCAGGAGCCATCAGCATTTCAGAACAGCCTCCTCCATAAACAGTTCTAGTATCCTTCACAGTTTGGGCAAGAACACAAAGTGCATCATGGAGCAATCTTTCTGCTTCATCTAAAATTTGTTGAGTGGCACCACGAAGAACAATAGTGCAAGCTTCCCCAAGGTCTACACCAGAAAAGTGAATCCATTTGTCTTCTCCAATCATGACCTCCTCAGTAAGTTTGCAACTTCAAGCTTCACCAATTCCAGGTGATCAAAGTTAAAAGCAATTTCACCACCTGTGACAAGTACCAGGCGTTCCACACCTGCAAAATCTGCATGCTCAATAGCCATGACACCAGCAGCTGTTCAAGAAAATTGTAAATTAACTGCCTGTTTATAAAGCAATTGATTCCATGCTTAAGAATATGTTCAACTTTCTCCTTCATTTCTTCCTTTTCTGAATGTTCTATTTCTGCAACCTTTGCTGTATAATCAACTCTGACCCTGGAACCAAATTATCTTTATTTTGTCTGTATCCATGCCAGTATTTGCAATAAGAATTTTAGCATTTTCAATCTGCTTTGGTTGATTTACTCCAATATTTTTATGCAATATAAAGCCTTCATCTAAACAGGAATCTGCCAGACTTCCTCTTAACTTCTTGAAGACATGAATTGCCTCCAGATTCCCAGAACCTTTCAGTCTAAGAACAGCTTTTACAGCTAACTTAGTAAAGTGATCTTTGTGATTAGTTAGAAGTTTTGAGGATAAAGTTGTTCCCACAATGTTCCTTAAATCTTGACGGAATTTAGTTTCATCAGAACCATGATCAACAGCAGACTTCAAAAGAGCTTCTCTTGCTGCCTTTGTGGTTTCTCTCCAGCCTGCAATGATAGTCTGCGGATGAATCTTTTTTGCAATTAAATTTTCTGCTTCCATTAGTAATTCTGTGGCTAAAACAGTAATAGAGATAGTACCATCACCAGCTTCATCATCTTAAACCCTTGGTATATCAACTAAAACTTTAGCTGCTCGGTTGTCAACACCAATATTTTTCAGAATAGTTGCACTGTCATTAGTAATCATAAGGGAGGCATCTCGTCCACTACTTAGAAGAATCTTGTCCATGTCCTTGGGTCCCAAAGTACTCTTTACCAAGTCTCCAATAGCAATGGCACCAATAAAAGACGACAAACGAGCTACTTCTGCTCTCTCTTCATCAGCTCCAGCTTTGAAGATGTTAACGGGAGCAAGGGAAAGGGATGCCATGGTTCCAAGGAGTCCGGCAAACAAGCTAACTCCTCACAGCTCAAGCCATAACCAGAAGAGAAGAGGGAGCCCTAAGTGACTTCACACACTCCACTGCAGGGGGCAGGCCGAGGCGCCAGCATCTCGAAGGGAGGGGTTCTCTGTTGATTACTCTTGTCTATTACTGCTGTCTGTGTCTACCTTTTAATCAGTAATACTATATTAATCGTCCCTTATATTATACTTATTTTAACTCTGGTGGCCTAGTGGCAAGAAGCTGTGCTGCAATTTCGAAGGCATGTGGTTTAAGGCTACCAGCTGCTCTGCCCAAGAAGGTTGGGTCATCTCCCATGCAATTAACTGCCTCTGAAAAACCTCTGGAGGGTCAGCTATAGGTCAGTTCCAACTCTGTGGTACACAACACAAAAATAACATTATTTTATATGGCCTTTCCTTTTATCCAATTTATTATGTGTCTATTTGCAACTTATTGGTTTTCCTTCTCCTTTGTCTCTTCTCTTATCCCTGGTAGCTAGTTTTCCAGGATTATTTTATATTTGTATACTTTTCCTTAGCTTTATAATAATAACAATGGACTTACACAATAATTGTTCTTTTATGTCTGATTTATTTCACTCAGCATGTTTTCCAGGTTTATCCATTTTATGTGGCATTTGGTAAATTCTTCAATTTTCTTTAAATGCATAGTATTCCATCCTAAGTTCGTCCCATAGTGTTTTCATTTATTCACCTGCTGATGGGCAATAAGTTGCTTCCATCTCTTTGCTACTATTATTTAATGCTACAAGGAGCGCGCGTGCGCGCGTGTGCGTGTGCGTGCGTGTGTGTGTGTATGTGTGTGTGTGTGTGTATTCATGGCTCGGATCTATTTCTTTAGAATATATACTTAGTAATAAGATTGCTGGAGCAAATGGCCTATTTCCAATTTTTTAAGGTAGAATGATATCATTTTCCACAGTGGTTGCACCATTTCACAGTCCCACCAGCAATGTACAGAGAGTTCCAATCTCTCTGACCCTTGCATTTGTTTGCCATCTTACTGTTCAGATGAGATGTTACCTCCTTGCTGTTTTGAATTGAATCTCTCTAATGAATAATGAATGAGATAATGAGCACATTTCCCCATGTATTTACTGGCCACCTGAATGTCTCTGGTGAAATGTCTGTTCATGTCCTGGGGTTATTTTTTAATTTGATTGTCTTTTTGTTGTCTAGGTGTTAAAGCTTTCTACAAATTTTAGAGATCAGTCTCTTAACTGTTAAGGCATTGTTGAATATTTTTTCTCAGTAGGAAGGTTCTCGTTTCACTCTTCTTGAGACAATGTCGTTGTTAGGTGCTGTCAAGTACAACTTAGAGTAACATTCTACGAACAACAGCTCTGAACCTTGTGCCATCCATCCTATCACCTCTGACATAACTGAGAGCCCACTGCTGAGTCACTGTGTCAACACATCTTGCTGAGGGTATTCCTCTCTTTTGCTGACCTTTCACCTCTCTAAGTAATGTTGTTGTTATGGAACACAGAGTTGAAACCAACTCATAACTGATTATCCAGCAGGTTTTCAGAGGCTTTATCATCACAGGGGAGGAGACTGCCCATCTTTCTCCTGCAGAGCTGCTGGTCGACTCAAACTGTGTCCATTCAAGTTGGCAGCACAGCTCCTTACCACGAAGCCACCTCCTCCTAACGATATACTCAAAGAATGTGAGACGAAGCTTCACTATCCTTGCCTCCAAGGAGCACTCTGGCTGCACTTTTTCCAAGACACATCTGTTTGTTCTTCTGGCAGCCCATGGCATATTCAATATTGTTCTCCAACACCACAACTCAAAGGCATCAACTCATCTTCTGTCATATTTATTCACTGTCCAGCTCTCAGATGCAGGTGATTTAAATGACGATGACCTGGATTAGGCTCATGATGGTCTTCAAATTAACACCATTGCTCTTCAAAATTTGGAGAGGCCCTGAATACAGACCAGCCCAATGAAATACATCTCCTGACCTCCTAATGCTGGTACCAAGAGTGATGACTGTAGTCTCAACTAAGATGAAATGGTTGAAAATTGTAATCTTTTCTCCATCTATCATGATGTTGTTTATTGGCCCTGTGGCGAGGTTTTTTGTCTTCTTGATGTTGAGATGTAACCCATTTTGAAGGCTGTAGTCTTTGATCTTCTGCAGCAAGTGTTTCATGTCCTCCTCTCAGCAAGCAAGGTTGTATCATCTGCATTGCATAGCTGTTGATCAGTCTTCCTCTGATATTGATGCTACCTTATTCGTTATGGAGTACAGCTTCTCAAATGATTTGCTCAGCATAAAGACTGAATAGGTGTTAGGAAGGATACGGCCCTGATGATGCATACTTTTCTTGGTTTCAAACCATACAATATACCCTTGCTCTGTTTGGACAACAATTTCTTGGTCTCATTACTAACAGCTAAATTGGTCTCATTACTAACAGCTAAATTACAAGAAATACTAAATATATTTCTTTGGGTTGTAAGAAAATACTAGATAGAAATTCAGCTCTTTAGAAAGAAATTAAGAACATAAAAAGGGCAAATATATGAATCTTTAAAACACAGATAACCATTTACAAAAACTACTACAATGAAGCATGAATTAGTAACATACATAGATAAATATATCTGACAACTGAGCATAAAGGATGGAGTGGTACATGAACTTGAAGAGATATAAGTGATTTACATTTTACATGCAGACACACTACAATAGCCACAGCTTGCTTTAGAATGACCCTGATTCTTTACTTCTCAAAGGCCCACAAAGAACAGGGTAAAGGAAAAAAGCTTTCTTCCAAAGCCTACCATGCCAGAAGTCCATTCACCTGAGAACAGAACTCAGGTCTCTGGGAGCAAACTCTGGTCTTAAGCATAAAGTCTTTCCAATAAAAATGGGTCCCACGTCTATAATGAAAAACACCAGGCTACACCACAATGTGTTTAAGCTGTATTAATCAGAAACGGTAACAGTAACGTTTGTACTTTCTTCTCCTCTCTTCTAACTGAGCTGAAATCTGTATTTACTTGAGATTATCAATACATTAAATTTAGGAACTCAGCTTTTTTAACTTTTAAGCAATTTGAAATTGTTTTTGGAAAACTAACCTTAAGTTCTTTTATTCCTTTCTTTGTTTTCAGAGTTTCTTCAGTAGACTTTGTTTTCTCATTCTTTTTCACTGCTTCATTTACCAGTTTATTTCCACTTGGTATAACCCCAAAGAATTTCCGGATATCCTAAAAACAAGAGAAAATTCATAAATAAACATCAACTACAAAATTTTATGTTGAACTGCAAAAAGGGCAACAGGCACACCCAGATCCACTACTTGCAATACCCTGAGTATTTTCTCCATAACAAAATAATTTCATGTCTCAGATGAAAAGGACTACACATGATGCTGTTGTTGTTTGTCGTAAAGTTGGAAATAACCCATAGCTGACCCTCAAGGGTGTTTTCAGAGGCAGTTAATCCACATCATAGAATAGAATAGTATAGAATGAAGAAAAGAAACTTATAAGAGATTTGGTTTGAATCTGTGCTCAAACTGCTTCTAACTATATGATCCAGGCCAGGTTATTTGTTTGGATCCATATTCTCCTTGGTAAATCAGACTATGTTTTGTTGTTGTTGTTGTTGTTGTTAGGTCCTGTCAAGTCGAGTACAACTCACAGCAACCCTATGAACAAATGATCTGAACCCTGTTGTACCCTGTGACATCCTCACACTTCCTGACACAAGAGAGCCATTTAGCAGTCACCATGTCAATCCACCTGGTTGAGCATTTTCCTCTGCTTCGCTGACCTTCCACCCTTCCTAGTATCATGCCCCTCTCCAAGGAATAGCCCCTCCAAGCAATAAAGACTCATCATTCTTGCCTCCAAAGAGCACTCCCGCTGCACCCTCTCCAAGACATGTCTGTTCATTAACTGGCCATCCATGGGATGTTCAGTGCTCTACTCCAACACAACTCAAAGACATCAATTCTTTTTCTGTCATCTTTATTCACTGTCCAGCTCTCAGATGCACATAAAGTGGTAAGAAAGACTATGACCTGAATCAGATGCACCTTAGTCTTCAAGCTGACATCATTACTCAATAATATAAAAAGGTCCCTAATTGAAGATTTTCCCAGTGCAATATGTCCTCTTATTTTCTGATTGCTAGTACCAAGGAAGCAGCAATGGCATCCAGTTCCTAAACAACATGCCTCCGGAAACTCTGTAAACTTTGATAAATGTTGATAGTTATAGAGGGGCTTCAGGCCTTTTGTTCATAGAATCACTATGAGTTGTGCTCGACTCAAAGGCAATCAACAACAGTACCAAGGGTATTAATTGTGGATCCAAGCAAGATCAAGCTGTTGACAGTTTCAATCTCCTCTCTATGCATCATGACACTGCCTATTTGTCCAGTAATAAGAATTTTTGTTTTCTTGACATTGAGATATAACCCATACCGAAAGCTGTATTCCTTGATCTTCTGTATCTATACCTTATGAGAATAATTATGTATATAACATATTTTTGTTGTTCCATAAAAGAAGATAGTAGGAGTATTCAGAGTCACTGTACCAAAATGAACTGGATGACACAAGAATTTCAGGAAATAACATATGATCAAGAGACAATAGTACCATAATTTCTCAATCCATTCGATTATGATTGGACTTCTCGGTTGTTTTTTCCATTTTCTTACAATGGTGAATAACGTTGCTATGAACACTGGTATAGAAGTCTCCGTTCATGCCTCAGTTCTCATTTTCTATGGTACATTCATACAATGGAATAACACAGGAGCAATGATTTTGTAACTTACTACCTAATTTGGGAAGGACTGGAGAGCATTATGCTGAGTGAATTAAGTCAGTCCCACAAGGATAAATATTCTATAAAACCATTATTGTAGAATGAGGATGAGGATCCAAGGGGTGGGGAGGGTGGAAGCAGAGGGATGGGGGGGGATTAATCATGAAGTTGTACAATTTGATGGGTGGAGAGGTGAGGGAAATTAGAAGAATCTGATCTGAAAAACAATGTACTCGAATTTTGGAAATAAATTAGTATAATATAAAAAAGAGGCAATGATGATGAAGGAGGAAGTTCTAGCCACTCTGAAGGACGTGGCAAACAAAAAAAATAAAGGAGCATACCTACTGACATATTTCAACAAACAGATGCTGCCCTGGACATGCTTACCAGGTTGTGCCAAGGTATCTGAAGGACAACTAACTGGTCAGCTGACTTGAAGAGATCCATATTTATTCCTATTTTTTTTTTAAAAAGTGACCTGACAGTGTGTGGAAATTACCATACAGTATCACTTGTATCAAACACAAGCAAATCTTGCTGAAGATTACCCAGAAATTACTGGAACGGTACATTGACAGAGAACACCAGAAATACAAGCTAGGTTTAAAAGAGGCTGAAGCACTAGAGACATTTTTGCCAACGTCAGATGGATTTTAGCAGAAAGCAAAGTACCAGATTATCTGTCTGTGTTTCATTTGACTATGCAAAGGCATTTGCCTGTGTGGACCACAACAAATTGTTGTTAACCTTGAGGAGAATGGAAATCCCAGAATACTTGATTATGCTTACGCGAAACCTATACTTGGACTAAGAAGCAGTCCTCAGAATAGAGCAGAGAAACACTGATGGTGGAAAATCAGGAAGGGAGTGCATCAGGGATGTGTCCTCCATACCTTTTCAATCTATATGCAGAACAGATCATTTGGAAGGTTGGGCTTTATGAGAATGAATGTGGCATCAAGATTGGAGG